AATTAAAGCAAATTTTTTTCTGTATATTATTATATACGGTTGCTTAATTAAATCTGGCCGCCAATAAGGGTTGCTGGCTAATAAATATAGTAAATATTAAAAGTAGAGTGAAAGAGAGCTAGCGCGTAACACCACTAGTCACTAGGTACGACTCAAAATAATAAATACTCCAAAAGAAACGTCTTTCTTTTCTAAAATAAAAAATTAAAAAGTCAATGACAAATTTAAAAATTACAAAAAAAATGAATATTGATGATAAATAAAATCAAGGTTACTTATGTAAAAAAATTGTGTTGTACAAGTACTGTATGAAAAAAGATTTAATTTTATTCAAGTATTACATTTATTTTACATATTCATCAATCATCAGTTTAAGCAAATTATAAATTTTTAAAATGTATTATATTTGTATTATACTTCCATGACTCTTTTTTAAAAATCTGAATCATCGGAGCTCTCAGTCACACTATCATCGCAGCTATCACTTTCATCAGAAATATCGGTATCGTCGTTATTATCGGAAGGCTTGTTCGTGGAATCACACAGCACATTCTCAACTTGCGCTGGAGTTGGATCTCCCAGGAACCATGTTGGTTTTAAAAAACCATCTAACAGCAGCCAGCCATTATTTTCCGCGCTGAACTTGATGCAATCCCGCTCAGTAGCATTTAACCACATCGAATTAACAAAGATGGTTCGCAATAATTTTTCCTTTAAAGATTTCCAGCATGGTGGAATGTGCGTTGAGTCAAAACCTTTAATTCTTCTCATAAATTTCTCACTACTTCCTTTTGAAGCGTACATTTTGTTGAACAATAAAAATCTTGCGGCATTTACACTTTGGCACTTTGGGAGTCCATACATAAGGCACGTAAAATGTTAAATCTGACGCATGCGCAATGGCTTTAAACCGTCCGACAGCTGGCAATCGCTATCCCCTTCTGACTAGTGGTGTTACGCGCTAGCTCTCTTTCACTCTACTTTTAATATTTACTATTTTTATTAGCCAGCAACCCTTATTGGCGGCCAGATTTAATAAAGCAACCGTATATAATAATATACAGAAAAAAATTTGCTTTAATTTGATATATAAATTATAAATGTACGTTGTGGGTGTAAAAATGTAACAAATTCATACCTGTGTATACCTGGCTGCGAAGAGGTGCAGCCAGGTGCACAACGGCAACCATAATTTTTCAGAGTCTTTATAGATGTTGCCGTAAAGTAGACGACATTTCATTGAAAAAAAAAGTCAATAAAATTACTTACGGATTATGAATAATTAATAATTTAATTAAAAATACTAGCGGCCACATTTTGATAGGCAACCTGGTGGATATAAATTCTCCTAATCATGAATATGTGTAAAAATTTGGTTTTCAGCAAACACTCGATGGGTACACTGATTCTGCAGCCGGATCTTAGACTACAAAGGCCTTTTCACAATATCTGAATAGAAACTTGTATGGACCACATCACAAGTTTATCGGGTTCATTTAGGACGGTGAAACAGGCTAAATATTAAACTACCTAAAGTAAACAACTCTATAGGTAGCTAAAGTATTTATATATAACTTATTACACTCAAACACTCCTTGTAGAAATTGATTTCATGTACAATGGGGTTAGTTTTACTTCAAGTAAAGTTTATTATTTAATCTATAGAATGATGTACATGCGGAATGCTGGTAATAGTATTTACAATACATCGAATATATGTTTACAAATGCTTACCTTTGCATTATTTTTAGTCCTTTGACTTTGTTTTGACTTGCCACCCATTGTAAAGTACTAGTATGATACTATGAAATAAGGAAATAATAAACTAATGATATATTAAAATTTGGCATCGATAAAAAATGCGTTCACTGCGATTTAATTTAAATATTACTTTGGTTGTATTAATATTCGATTAACATTAATCACTGCATTGCATTGCACCACAATATGACAAAATTGGACGTTTGACTTGACAATATTATTATTATTATCACAGTACATATGTCACGTATGACAATATGCAATACGACAATTGACACATTGACAGTATGATTAGTGACACTTTATATTATACTATGAACCACAAACTTACAACAGATAAGCAGACCAAACATTAACTCCTAGTTATACGTATAATACGATATACATCATTCTTTGTCCTTGTTCTGTTCTGTCAAGCACCAACCTGATAACCTGCCTGATAATGACATCTCGTTCTTTTACCTATAGCCATACCGCTCAACACATAAACAAATATTGACATGTAGCCAGTTTTTCCGTGGTACCATATTGATACAAACGAAAATATTAATTGTTTATACCTTTAAATTATAATATAAAGTATTGGGATAGATGTTACTCCATTGATGTTTGGCCTATGAATGCTAAGATAAAAGCGTAGGTGCACCTCAGGAGTCCGCCTCGCACAACAGGAACCTACCTATGCAAAGACTGGAATTTTAACTGATGTAATTTTAAACGATTATAACAGTTATTGGCGGAAGTCACTTGGGAACCTGCTTTACTAGCAAATAATGTATCCACCGCTGTAAATACTTTTTAGAGCATAATCTTATTTGATGATTGCATCCCTAAGACGCGCCGTGCTATATCTATAAGTAAACGTTACTGTGTCTGGTTTGGAAATCTGAAAACACACCAATTGTCACGAAGACTCTTAACAACGATCAATAGTTCTGACATCAGTTGCAACAACAATTATAAATAAATAAATAAAATCTTTATTCATTATAATGAACTAGGGACCCGCCCCGGATTCCCACGGGTACATTATGCATGTATAATACATACAAACCTTCCTAAAAAAATCACTCTGTTTATTAAAAAAAAACGCATCAAATCCGTTGCGTAGTTTTAAAGATCTAAGAATACATAGGCGGCGGATACCGACCTTATTTTATACTATGTAGTGATAGTGATAGTGCTTGGTTATAGTAATATTGCTTATTGCTTACATTCACTGTGTGAGCTGTGAGTGAGATGTCGCCGCGACTGCGCTCGCAGCTCATGAAGTAGAACCCCTCTGTGGTTCGAAATTAGTAGATCTTTTCTCAATATATTCATGTGAGTAACCCGCGATTTTACTTATTTAAGTAATTATATTAACTTAAATTCAAAACATAGATAGATATCCATACATATCAAACATTGTTGGTACTATATTACTGAAGAATTTGATACATCAACAGAAACACAATCTAGGTTACAGTCCAAACGGTCATTTACTTGGTGTTACAATAAAATAGGTATGCCTGAACAGCAACAAACTGTTGAGTACGCCAACCTGTTACGATTTTAATTATTGTGCAAGGAAAGGCTAATCAACTTTGTAATCTGTGAGAGTATGACACTTTACGCGTCCTCATAATCGATAGAGTTGATGTACTTATATTCAGCTATTTTCGTAGCCGGGCAGTCAGCGTCTTCGGTTTTATGTTTATTGAGCTTGTTGTAACAAGAGCATGTAGCATATTGTACATGTACACATTACATGGAGGGGATTACGAATTTTCAGTGCAATTGGATTGTACATGTTCTGCTTCTCCGTAGTGGCCAGACGATGAGTTGATCTCTTTTCATGTTTTTGCTACGTGTCCATATAGTTGGCAATTGTAGCATCGCGTTACAAGCGTAAAGTCTCTGACGGGGCAAAAAGTCCAATTGATCTAAATTCTTTCTTGAGATATAAGGGCTTTACGTATCTTACCTGGAACTTCGATGATGAAATTGCAAGGATGCGCCGTCCTTTCTTCCCGATTCGTGACTTAGCTCGACTGATGTTAAAAAAAACTCCATTTTCATCCTCGGGAGCTTGTCAGACACTGCTCTGCTGCTGCTCATAAATATACTTGAAGACGTCAGGATCAGTCATTTACGACGGTACTCCTATAACTGCGATTCGTGATTTGGGATTGTTGGGTTTGTCTGCGGGAAGCCCGGATAACGACAGGCCAACTGCTAGCTTTACTTTTTCAGCATCCTGTTTCGACTCACGCCTCTTATCCCCGAAGGGGTAGGCAGAGGTACACATTATGCTACTGTACAATGTAACAACTAGGTACTTTTCACTAATATGTTATGAGTCCCATGTAATAGGGGGTGAGCATAGAGTATAGTAAGTATATAAAGGAAGGGTGAGTATACGGACACTATTCCAGACTCTGTGCTATTACTGAGAATTTTTTAAATATATCAGAAATACTTAGGAATGTACAACAAAATTTAATAGGACAGGACCAGAAAAGAACTTGTCTTGGGAGTGGTCTGTGTTATTGAGGGGAAGGAGATGACTATTATCTGCTATCCTTAACCATAACAATTGCCTTAATAAAAATTATTACTCTCCCTGCAACGTATTTTAACAGAGAAAGCAATCTTTTATACATTTTGTACATTAGGAGAATATTTAAATTATTTAATATATTATTTATTTTTTAAAACTATACTTTTTACAGTTCCTAGTTATAAATATTGACTATTTATCCCAAAAACACGTTTATATCTACGTAAGTACCTAAAAATGTCCTTCATTTCTAATACGGACCTTAGTCCGGCCCCGTTTAAGCTACAAATTAAGCATGAGTGTTTTTGGCTTCACAAATAGGTAATGTTGAGTCCGCTTATCTATTTTAAATCTGTAGTCTATGTATATATTTTATTATTATTAATATAATAATGTAGTAATAGTACGTTTTAAGATTTTATTTGAATAAATTCTTTCCCTTTGTCTATGTATTAGTCATAGATAATAATGGTACATTGTAATCACTGATATGATATGTTATATTTTTTTCTAAATCTAGAATGATTCTATGATTGTAATTTAACAAATCATAGATAATATACCAAATATGCATCATGTAAGTCAGTACCTTCACAGTGTCTGTGAAGCATAGATTTAGTATTACACTGTGAAGGCTTCACTGACACTGACAATCTAATTGACATTACATGCGTTAGGCCATGTCAAATTCATTTATTCTGTTGAAGTTGAAGTCAGTAATTCAGTATATTATTATTCACTTTTAATGTTCAGTGGTGTATTGTGAGTTGTGAGTCGTAGCGCGCTGGATTGTATTGCTTACTTCTTGGTTTGTGTCTGAGATCCAAAATCGGCCAACTGCTTTCTTACTTTACTGCTCCAGACTCCAGACTAGCATCCTGTTTATCAGGTCACAGTACGCTTTAATATGCGGAAGTGTTGTGTTGTTGGTTGCAATGCCACCAACAAGACTCACCGCCTTTTTAATTTCCCAAAAAACGATAAATTACGGGAATTATGGTTATCTTTCTTGATTCCTGTAAATGCGATGCTCAGTGGTCTTTCGAAGGACCAATTGATTAGCCGATATGTGTGTCAGAAGCATTTCGATAGATATCAGTTTGACGGTACGGGAAACCGTCTTCAGCATGGTTATCCCTCCTTGTTTACTTCTATGGAAATTCTTCATGGTGTACCTTTGAGGTCGACAGGTTAGTGGATTCTTTCCTGTAATACTTGATTTTTTTATTTATGACACAAAATAAAATAATTAGATGGTATTAACTCAATTCGTGAAAACTTTCATTCTTACGTTAAACGTTAGGTGGGGTAGGTATGCATTCAAACAAATACTAAACTTTACAATAGTTGTGTACAGCATTGCTATTACACAACAGCATTTTCATCCCCATCATATAGATAGTTGGCAGGCCACAATTGCACTTTTCCTTCAGACCTTTCTGCCTCACACAGCTAAACTGTGGAATAATCTGTTGTAGGCTGCATTTCCCAACCAATACAACCTGCAAACCTGGGAAGTACTGATCACTTACTATCAGGTGATATGTCTGCCCCTTTGCCTCAAGCACATCCATCCTTGATGAAACATGTGTGGTTTGAGTGGTTTGTTCAGTGTTGTGTATGTGTTTGATGTTGCGTCCCTGCTTCAGGTGCTTCAGGTGACTTGTTAGCGGGCTAGAGGACGAAACAAATATTTTTTCTGTTGTTGCTGTAGTATTAAATGAATTTCTGCAGTTACACCTGATTTTGGTTTTTACATAAATTATTCCATATCTCAAGCTGAGTAAAATTTTACATACTGAAAACTAACTTTGGGTGAATGCTCCGAGGTGGCCCACTAAAATTTAATTTTGCGTATGTTTTTTTTAATAATTACAAAATTGCCATAGGGTGGTATTCATTTATAACACGAATTGCTTTTATTCAACACAAAACATAGTTTGACTATGTAATTATAGAGATAAAATAACTAGTGGAACTACATTTTATATACAGCTCTAAGACATTAACATTCACATCTCATTATTATTAAATTGTATATTGTTTTTTCAGCTGATAATGATTTGAGTGATCACAATTATGCCAAGCAACCAACTGTCTCGCAAAATCCTACTGATTTTACTTCTAAAGTAAAAAATAATGGTGAGTTTCTGTTAATATTATTAAAAAAACCATCTCCTCTTTTACTCAAATAATTCAGTATTTTAGATTTTATTTTTACGTACTGTTTACTGCTTTGGTTTTCATTGTAATTGATTATGTTTTAGCAGTGATGCCTTGTGCTGCTGCATCGAGTTCACAAACAACAAGTATTGTGGAAATTGTTTCAAACAAGCTTACATTTAAAATAGAAAATAACCCCGCAGGTAAAACATATTATATATCATACATTTATAATTATAGTCGACACAATCTAAGAGGTCGTCTCTGATGTTTGTCAGTTTATTTATATCAGTAAACTGTAATGAGTGTTCTATAATGTAATGTAAAAACAAAACAATCGAAATTCATTACTCCGTAGCTTTTATAAAAAATCTTATTCAAAATCATCTTCCTATAGAAATGCATTTAGTTAAATAGACAAGTAATTCCAGGAATCTATCTTCTATCTATATACATAAAATTCAAAGGTGATTGACTGACTGACTGACTGACTGACATAGTGATCTATCAACGCACAGCCCAAACCGCTGGACAGATTGGGCTAAAATTTGGCATACAGATAGATGTTATGACGTAGGCATCCGCTAACAAAGGATTTTGATAATTTCCACCCCCAAGGGGGTAAAAAAGGGGATGAAAGTTTGTATGAAACTTTGTCAGTTTTTAACTGATCGGGTTGAAATTTGGCATGCAGATAGATGTTATGACGTAAGCATCCGCTTTGAAAGGATTTTGATAATTTCCACCCCCAAGGGAGTAAAATAGGGGATGAAAGTTTGTATGAGACTTTGTCAGTTTTAAATCGATCGGATTGAAATTTGACATGCAGATAGATGTTATCACATAGGCATCCGCTAAGAAAGGATTTTGATAATTTCCACCCCTAAGGGGGTAAAATAGGGGATGAACGTTTGTATGAAGCTTTGTCAGTTTTACACCGATCGGGTTGAAATTCGGCGTGCAGATGGATATTATGACGTAAACGTCCCTTTTGAAAGGTTTTTGAACATTCTCACCCCAAAGTGGGTAAAATAGGGGGTGAAAGTTTGTATGATACTTTGCCAGTTTTAAACCGATCGGGCTGAGACTTTGCATGTATAAAGTTACTATGACATAGGTATCTCCTTAGAAAGGTCTGGATTTTGATGAATTCCACCCCTAAGGGGATAAAATAGGGAATGAAAATTTAATCTAGAATCATTGAATCTTTTTGAATTACATTCGGTAAAACGATGATTTGGGACCTGAGTAACGTATGATAGTTTTTATCACAGAAGTCCCTCGGGAACGGGAACTATGCGTCAATGCTCCAGGACTCTCTATCTTCTAACCACTGAACTTATTTCATAGAGATTCTGTACAACAATAGTCGAAGTTTTTATTACTCAAAACTTACGTGATCGGGGCGGGACTGGTAAGAACCCTGCGGGATTTTTAATTTATTGAAATTACGATAAATCATTTCACAATAGGTAAATCTTAATTGGGCACTGAATTGGTTCTGATGAATTCTGTCAGAAGTCATTAATCTACGCGGACGAAGTCGCGGGCAACAGCTAGTCATATTATAAAAGGCCACTATTACAAATTCAAATCTCCAAGTTGGGTACCAATTACCATAATTATGTCACCTGTCGGTTATCCGTTTTCAGATCGATCGGAATTAATGTTCCTAAAAATCGGTCATTTTTAGGAATGTGCCGCGACACGCTGGAAAATTGATGCTCATAGCCCCCTTCTAAATCTGAATTCTAAATCTCTTTCGTCCTCTTCTGCTGACAACTTGACTTCTGACACTGTGTGTGTGTTGTTCTGAATTTTGTATGGGTGTAGATCGTATGCCAGGCTAGTAGTGGATTGCGAGCTTTGTGTGGTGGTTGATTGAGTGGTGTGTGATGTGTGCACTTGGGATGGTTGTAACTGATCGGAATCTGGAACTGGAATGTTAGTAACGAAAACTGTGTCTCCTAGTACCTTTTTTTATGGCATAAGCTGGTAAACGAGCAGACGGATCACCTGATGGTAAGCAATCAGCGTCGCTCATGGACACCTGGAACACCAGAGGCGTTACAAGTGCGTAACTGGTTTTTTGGGGATTAGGAGTATGAGGATCGTTGGGGATTCAGGGATTGGGGAGATTGGGGAAGGGGAGGGTAATTAGGCCTCCGGTAACCTCACTCACACGACGAAACACAACGCAAGCGTTGCTTCACGTCGGTTTTCTGCTCGTTGTTGGTATCACTCCGGTCGAGCCGGCCCATTCGTGCCGAAGCATGGCTCTCCCACACTTAAAATGATGGTTGTGTGAATGGAGCCGCCATTCTGTACAATTGTAATGTCTAAAGATGATTCTAGTTTGTTTGTGTATTTGCTGAAGCTTTTGGTTTGGTTACTACTCCTGTGGCTCTGGCTCCTGTGGCTTAAAATTCGGTTACCTTAATGGATTTTATAAACTTGTATTATGAAATATTGAAAGATAAAATATTAAAATAGAATCATTTATTTTTTTGTTGAACATAAATATCGATCTTTGTTATTGTGGATCTTTGAACTTGTCTGCCTCATTGGCCCAGTGGCTGCAAATGCGACGGAGTCTGGAAATGTGCCCGGTATATGGCTATAGGCTCACCCCCTTTATATGGGACTCACATAACACATAACATTATTAGTGTTCACTGACTGACTGACACACTGACTGACTCACATAATAGACACAACATAAATAGTGAAAAGTGATTAAGTGCCGTAATCTGCACCTTTGCCTACCCTCTATCCTCTCCCCTACCGTTCGGGGCATTATTTTGCCTGGATGTGATTTTGGAATCGGTCATAAACAGCAATTATTTACCTCTCCCTAGATGGCAGATGTCAGAGAATCTCTTAGATTGTGTCGACTACAGTGCAGAGCAAATTGTTCATGCTTATCAACATTATACAGCCACTGTATTAACCACAAAGTGCATGACAGCTGGTCCTAAGAACAAAACCTTTAAAAAAAAGATGTCATGTAGCTATTAACTATACACACATCTTTAACATCTCAGACCGTAAATCAATGATTCTTACACATGATATCTCCTTGGAGCCCGTCGATGATAAAAAAAATTTGTTGGCATTGGGACAGGAAAATAAAGAACACTTTCATACAAAACTAGCTAATGCTATGTGATGTTAATAATTTATTAATGAAAAGCTGATTTTCATTGTTATTTATTATGTTTTCAGCACTGACACCTTGTGCTGCTGCATCGATTTCGCAAACAACAAGTATTGTGGAAATTGTTTCAAACGAGCCTATATCTAATGTAGACGGTGAACCCACAGGTAAACTAAAAGAGTGGAATAGCTGGATAAAACACAATGTCTAGAAAATCTATCAACAAATATTATTTAAACAAGAAGCGGTTGACATTTTTAAGATATAGCACTCTTTCAAAAACTGAATAACATAACTATGTCATTTTTTTTTTTTTTTTTTTTTTTTTTTTTTTTT